ATTATTATATGATGTGATAGTGATTACTTTCTGTACTTACCTTCCATATGTAGTTTCCCTATAAAAGCTGTAGATGACGGTGTTGATGTCTTCACAAAAATCCAGGCTCCTCGTCCAAGCGCGCGCACTGCATCCTGGTACTTGACGTCGATATCCCGCTGGAGTAGGTTATCCTTGATGTGCTGGCTTCTCGTTGAAAACTACATTTCCCTCTCTTCCAGCCCAAATTTGAATGCCGTGTGTATGGACGGCGTTTTTTCCAGTCGATGATCTCAGCTGAAGTTTCCTCCTGTGTCAGCTTCACGGAGGCTGAACTAACTCCCGGAGGATGACCAGAGTCTCCCCGGGGCTGAGCTCTGTCGAAGGCTGCGGCGGGAGAAGCCAGAGGGAACCAGGCGCCATTTAAGTCCCAACAATGCGGGACAAACAAAGAAGGCAGTGATTTGTGGCCTCGGTGGTTTTTCCCCCCGCCGCTCCTGCTCTAGCCTGGGCTGGGCTGGGCTGGGTCCCGTTACAGTTACGAGTCGAGCCGGTGACGACCATGGAGGAGCGGGAATATCCCGAAGCGGTGCTGGTGACGGAGGCTGGGCCGCAGTGGCTCCGGGCCGAGGTGGAGCGTCTCACCCGGGAGCTCCGCGAGACGACCCGGGAGAAGATCCAGGCGGCAGAGTACGGGCTGGCGGTGCTGGAGGAGAAGCAGCAGCTGAAGCAGAGGTTCGACGAGGTGGAGACGGAGTACGAGACGGTCCGGCAGGAGCTGGATCAGCTGAAGGAGGTAACCCCAGGTCACAGCCACGCAACCGGACACTTGAATGTGTCCGTGGCTGCAGTGTTAATTATATCAGTATGTGATCACTGACACAGACAGTCGTCTGTCTGCAGCATGGAAGTAGTCAAAGTATTTTTTCAGTATTCTAATGATCAGAGCCATCACAAGTTAAATATTCCTTCAGTCTCAACAGCTGTAAAACCCACTTTCTAAAACCCTCCTGAAAAGTTAGCTGCATGAACCATGGGGTGATTACTGATAAACACATGGTGACCAAATGTTTCATCGGAATGATTTCCACAGCCCAGGGGATTTCAAAAACAAACGTGTCTTTACTGTTTTGGTCACTTGCCCACACTTGCTCTCGGTATGTAAGTCTGAGTGAGGCCTTCAAATGAGACATCTGCAGCAGCTTGTGTTCACTTCATGTCTGTGTGGCCGAGCTGCTGCTGGCTTCTAAAAGAATCTGAGAAAATGTGCTTCAGACTTACTTTTTTATGCAATTCAGTCTGATTATAATTATTTTTTGTAATTTAAGTACTTGTTAGATTGACATAGGAATGAGTTACACTATCTAAACTACACAAATATTTCCATACATACGCATCCAAATGCTGAAACAGCACAAACACACACAACAGATTGTCAGTAACAGCAACAACAGCCTACAAATGCAGCTATAAAGGTATTCTAAATAATTCCAGCTATAATAATATCTGATATAAATGTCTTCTCAATCTTTTAAAGCAGTGAGCCCTTGTTGGCAGAGTTTCAGTCATGAGTGAGCTCTGCTGTTTTTGTGTTCCATCATATTTTTAAAATGTCCCAACTGGCTTGGTTTGGGCAATTATCTCTGATCCACTTCCATTTAAACAGCATTAGCCTCAAGTTTCCATGAATTTCTCCTTACCAGCTGATTCAATACACTGATATTAAATAGAATAGACCAGCCCTATTGTTACTGATACCCAATCCAGTTACTGTATCCTAGTCTGTATGAGACCAGTATCCAATCCAGTTAGTATCTGATCTGTGCAGCCCTACTTCTCACATCCATCACATCTCAAACATTTGTAAAGTAAGAAACTAGTAGTGCGCAGACCTCTGCCAAGCCCCAGTAGTCCTCCTCAATTCAATCAGTGTCCCTAAATATGTCAGATTAAAGAGAAARAAAAAAAAAAAAAGATCCATGAATTATTCCTGGAGAATGTTAAAAGGTGAAAAAATTCTGGATCCCTTCCCCTGATTTCGATCCCTACCAAAATGAAAATGACCCACACCCCATGCTTCCACCAAGTTTCATGGAAATCTGTTCATTTGTTATTGTGTAATCTTGCTTACAAACAAAACAACCAACCAACAAACAACTGACAGGAGAGAGAACATAATTTCCTTGGCAGCAGTGGCTGCATTATGTACATGGCAGTCTGTGACATCACCCTTCATTTCTAAGTTTGGAGGTATCATTTGCTGCCGTCTCTGACAGTTAATTGAGCCAAATATGACACTAATTGGAGAATGATGAGGATCCTGGACAAATCTGATGTGAGATAAGGAAAAGCATCGCCCAGCACAGCTGATAGGGAGAAGCTAACACATCAGTCAGTGGTGTTGTCAACATACAATCTCATACATAGAGCAATGGTTTAAAAATGTCCTATAACGACAGACATGAGCAGAAACGGCATAAGCCACTGACATCCTACCTTGTGGGAAATTGTGACTATATACAGTATATTTTAAAAGAATTGGTTGGGTTTTTCCCCTCTTGTCCGGTTTAGTCAGTTTTCTTACAGCCAGTTCACCAACATTTAGAGGAACTGGATCCTAACACACTTCCACACTCAGCAGCTGTGGTCACCACTTCCTATGGACTGTATGGCTCCATCGACCACTCTTAATAATTTAGTGTAATGTGGGTTTTTTTTTAACGCCACTCAGCTAAGCCCATAATCTTTACTGTTTACATAGATAGTGATATATATTGTGTAGTGTTTAAACCGGAGATGCTCAGATGACTCAGATAGAGGTCACACTCTACTTAGCTGTGATGAAGACTGTTATTAATCAAGTGTTACTACTACACATCTCTACCGTCATATTGACTCAGTCCAGTTGCTATGTATTACTGCAATAACAATTATTTTCATTTTTAATGAATTTACTGTTTATCGTCTGGACTGAAAAATGTCATACAATTGTAAAAACAAATGCCAGATAAAGGTTGTGTATTCAAATTGCTTTTAGATATAATCAATTTGCCTTAAAAAGTCTAAAATTCAATAATTTAAATCATTTGAATTTGAGGCCTTAGACATTTTGAATATGTTAAAATATAACCTAGGTCTTAAATATGTCAGTGTTCATTTATCGCTACTTCAGTCACGCTTTAAAATAGTTTTTTGTTATGGCGGCCTGCATAGTTTGTCTCCAGGTCTTGTATTTATCTCTCAACAATAGAATGTCATCATGTTGTGATAAAACTACAGTTTTATTCTGTCCTCTTGTTTCGTGTAGTATATGGTCGTGGGATCTTGTTTTGTTTGTATTATACTACAGTATTACTGTCATATTTAAATAAAATATTATTAGAAAAACAAAACTACTGGTAACTGAACAAACACAGTCAAAAGTGATCTCAGTACACTCAGCTTGGCTGTTGGAGAGACTATGGATACCTTCTGTTTCCTTATGTGATTTGTGTGATAACGTGGCATTTCTAAGGTTATTGTCTACTTCACCTTGTTTTCAATTAAGGTGAAGTGTAAATAATTCTGGGACTCAGATATTCCTTGATATCTACATGAAATAGTTTTTTTAAACTTCGTCCATTCTTGTCTTAAATAGTTCTAAAAGTCTTACACTGAACTTGTTGAAACTGCGGAGACCCTGGAGGAACTAACTTGTGTCCTCACCACGTCAAATGTTTGAATGACATAGTTTATATAGTTTTTTTCCCCTCCACGTTGTGTTATTCCTAGTCAGTCACAGTCCATTCACAAAGTGACTCACTGTTTTATTTCTTCTCTCGCTCTCATGATTGTGCTTGTTGCCTCTCTCTCCAGTAGAAAATGTCACAGAGGCAGATATGATGTGTGCACTGTGTATTTAGGCTCCATCAGTTCACGTCACGGCCGACTTTCTGACTGACCTGTCAGTTTGTTTGACTGACTCTGTTGAGGAAGAAAAGGCGAGGTTGTGGGAAGGAGAGCTGCAGCTCTGTGGAAGCTTTCAGGACTTTGTTGGACAATGTCCATTACGTCACCCGTTTGGCTCAGTGTCAGAAGATTTTGGCTATCTAGGCCTTTAAGTCAGATGCTTGTGAAAATCTGACTTGTTCATCCTATTAACCTCTTCTTGTGATTACCTGTGCTGTCTCTTAATACTGTTAACCTAAGCTTTGACTCTTTGCTTGCTATCTAGCTATTAGTGCATTCATGAGTGGTCAGTCCTTTTTAGGGTCTGTTCAGACCAAAGAAAGTTGTGATAAGACCCTTCCTTGCCCACCTCTCTTCTATTGTCTTACAAGGCAGACAGATTCCAGAGAAACATGCCTGATTGTTTTTTTCCATCCAGATCCATGAGTTATTCTCAGAGAAATGTCAATTATGTTGACCCTCTTGACTCACAATGTAAAGAAAGTGAAACAAATCATTCAGGGATATGCTCCACATGTATTTTGACCTGCATAAAATTGTATTTTGCTTGATTAAGTTTGAGTGTCAATCAGAGTTTTTTGTGCTCTCTCACAGGCTTTTTACCATTCCAAACAACATCCATACATCAATGGTGAATTGAAGTAAAGGGTTAAGCTTGGTTCGGTCATTATAGATGGTTTATGAAAGTTAGGTTTGATTTATTTGACCTGGGCTGCAACAGCGATTTGTATTCATTTTCATTATTGTTCATCATGAAGAGGTCAGTCAGTGACAAAACACACATACATGTTGAGGTGATAGAGGTTTTAAATTAAAACACATTTATTCAGTTGAGAATGAACAAGACAAGGTGTTTTTCTTCCCTGAATGTGGATTGTAAGGCAGCAGAGTCTGGTTTGCTCCAACTTGTCACATGAGCATGTTAAATTCACATTAATGCAGTTCAGTAGTGGCTGCAATAATCTCTCCATGCCCTGTTGGTATTTAATATGAACCTCACGAAGCAGCAAAATGTCACAGGAGGGTGACACGGTTCTTGTGAACACATGGTGTTCTGTGACACAAGCAATGCCAGTCAGTATAAACTGGGGAAGGACACGCTCTTGGTATTTTGAATCATCATTATCTGTGGGCAATGGGTTTATTTGCTCATGTGAGAATTGTAGTTTGTCTTTATAATCTTTAAACAAATGAGTGTTCTTTTGATGTCCATTCTGTCTGTCTGTCCTCCAGGCTTTTGGACAAGCTTACTCAATCCAAAGGAAGGTGGCAGCAGATGGAGAAAGCAGGGAAGAGACTCTGATTCTGGAGTCTGCCAGCAAAGAGGCTGTCTACCAGCAGAAAGTCCTG